CATGATCTCCTCCATGGCACCCTTTAATTGTTGACCGACTTGTCATTTCCTATTCGGGTTCCACACGATGGCCTGGCGCGCTATATCAGTCGACGGTCTTCTCAGCGTGTGTCCGATCAGTCGCCATTTGCTTTTACTTGTTTGTTGAGCAAAAGGTTCTTGATTAGTTTAGTCACAGGTTTCTTGTTGCCGATTCTTCCTGGCCATCTTATCTTCAGTATGGATGGAAGGCAGCTGTCGATGAATGTCTGCAGTGGCCTGTTAAAGATGCTTTTCGTGAGTCGGGATTCAAGTCACTGACCTATATAGAAGGACTAACTTAACATTGGTGTTGGAAATGTGAATTTTGTTGTTTATGCTCAGTGGAGAATATATTTACACTGATTTCAGATGGGTGAAGTTCTGTCTTGCTTTCTCGTTCGTGCAGGTCGGAGCTGAAACTCTACGCATCGTTATCAAACAGAGCATAGAATGGCAATCAAATCTCTACCTCATCTTCATCATCTCTCAAAAGGCCTCCCACAGCGTTAACTAAGAAGTGATCAAGGCACTATTTAAAGACTAAGGAATGAAGTCCTGCAACCATTTAACAAGTTTATTCAACAGATGTGTAACGATACTCAGAGTCAGGTGATCCACAATAGAAAACTAAGTGAAGTCTGCCATTGAAGTGAATAGAGGAGTAAGATAAGGCTGCCTACTATCACCTATAATATTTCTAGCTGTGGCGGACTGGACTCTGCGGGAAGTGAGAAGACAAGAATTTTTTGTACCGATAAGAAGACTCCAGAAAATCTGAACTTTACATAAGATTTATGTTTAATGTCACATAAATCCGACGAAAGCAGGCGAAATCAGCAAGTTGGCAGAGAATGCTAAGATTTTAGATAGTACTCCGAGTGAATACAGAAAAGACGGAGATGATGAGGACACATAACGAACAACAAGAAGCGCCGATCACTTGCAGTGGAAGAAATTCTAAAGAGGTCAGATCCTTCAGTTATCCTGGAAGCATAGTTTCTCTTGAAAGTGTTGTTTTCTTAAAATTGAGGTTACTACTTATTATTTTGTTAGTAGTATGTGAAAATGGAAATAACGATCGCTGTTTTCTGAACAGAGTTATTTGTTAATTGATTAATCGCCAGAGAGTAAGAGATCTACTATATCCATCCTTAGCGTTGATGTTCATGGAATACTATCCATCATTCTTCTTATGTGGTCATCAGTCCTAATGACTTACCATCATAGCGCACATTAAAGCGATGACAATTGGTACATGGCTAACATAAATATTTCCAGGTTTTTAGTAGCGTGACTCCATGATCTCATTTTTAGTGGTAATGATGTGCATGCTACTAATTAGATTTATAAGCAGTATATAAACGCAGATATAAATATGTTAATCATCTGTAAGAATGTCATAGAAGCGATTTTATTGGTGAAGTGAAGGAATCATTGATGCTTACGGAAAAGAACAACATAGAAAACATGATAGGAAGACAAAGAAACACAATAGACTAGGATAAAAGTAGAACAACATAGAAGGTGTCTACGTTTCCGCATCTTAACATGCAGTAGATGCATTTTTGCTGTATCAGTTGACCGATAAATTATTCTGTTTTCAAATGGTTTTCATCCTACCGTTACAATTGGTGTCGCTGTCTTCAGACAATGAAGACCTCATAGCCTGAAACTTTCGAAGAAAAAGCTGAACGCAGCTTCTTTATGGACTTCTATGCCATCGTGGAGGTGGCATGCGTACAGGATACAATGTAGAGGAGAGCTGTGCTGAAGGTACTCCTGACAATTCAGGTAAAGGAGGCACATGAGATCATGGAATGGGCAAGTAGTCAGGAGACAGTCAATTTATTAGTGGAACTGCCGATGGCGAAGTTCATCAGCTCACAGAACTGCCAACGGTTATATGCTACGAAGCTTGGATCAGACGGATAGCTGATGATATTCGCACTGTGGCTGACAAGTCTACTTCATTTGATGAAGAGTAAGACAGCAGCTCTTGTCATCACAGTATATCGAAGGTGTTCTAGAACACATTTCTCAGCAACTACGGCTGGTTACCACTGCACAACCTATGGACACTGGTGAGTTCGCGAAGGTGACCAGACAGTGACTGAGCAAAACTGTACCCTCAACAAAACCTCCAAATTCAGACCAGTGAGAGCAAAATATCAGAGATATGCAAATCCAAGTTGTGCCACTGTGAATGACAGACAAAAAAGACCAATACTTTGCGTGTGGCAAACTAGGACATTGGAAGAAACACTACTCAGAAAGACGGAAATGAAATAATTTTAGACAGTATACTGTGTGTTCTTTCTGTCCGATTAAACTTGTACATCAAAGCCCAGTCTACACCGTCTCACTCATTGTGATGGTGTGTAACTCCCTTCTGGCTTCATTTCAGAAGAGATTCATTGTGTACTTAAGGTATACGACCTTGACCTTGGCGGCCTGTTTGAATTTTTGGGCCTGCTATCGTAAAATCTACATATTGCATCCAACCTACTATTTACTCCATTTATTTATCACCCAAATATGAATTCTAAAAGGATCATTTACTCTTGTAACTTTATTAATCATTTACGACCCAATGACTTTCATATTCCCACGAAATCAAGGAGGAAGCATCGTAGTGGTTGGCAGAGAGCTCTTAAACGTACACCAATACACTTAACTACGGTCCCTGTCATAATGAACACTAACTGCCGCTCTCTGCCAAACAAGATAATGTACATACAATCCTTGATGTCCACTGACACTTATCATAATACTGCGATAATCACATTACAAGAAACATGGTTACACGAAGTGTACGATGACAATCTCATCTCTCTAAAGGACTTCATCTTATTAAGACAAGACCGACAATGTTGTAATAAGAAAAATGGAGGGTGGAGTAGCAACTTTTATTCACTCCAAATGGCCTATTTCTAATAATGTTTGCTTCTCATTCTCAAATGACTTCATAGACTGTATCACCGTCAAATGTCGTCCCAAACATCTCCCTAAATATAAACATATCTTTATCACAAACATGTACATTTCTCCAAGTTGCTCACCATCTAATCTTTCAAATTTTGCCGCTGCCAACTTCGATAACTCTCTATCTGTTATTACTGGGGACTTCAACTTGTCAGATTGCTCTTTCCTTGAAGCACTTCGTCACTCGAACATTGTACTCACTGAAGACGGAGTCCCCCAAGGTGCTGTACTCTTCCCACTTCTCTTTTCTTTCTTTCTACATGACTTACCATCTTCAAATGACATTAATTTTGTCAAATATGCTGACGACCTAACAGTATCTTTGCCTGTCAAATGTCAAAGCGACTGCTCTAAACTTAATGGCTTTCTGTCAGAAATCAGCCAGTGGTCCAAGGAAAGCGGTCTTAACCTACCCCCCCCCCAAATGCCAAACAGTCAGTTTCACCTTTAGGCATAAATCTGACCTAAGCAAAAGTGGCTAGCTCTCACGAGGTGTGTAACATAGACGGCACTTAAATAGAAACCAAGTCGGAAATTAAATACCTAGGCGTCATTCTATCTGCTGATCTCTCCTGGTCGTCTCATATCTTGACGATTTCTAAGAAAATATTCCATCTTATCTTCTACATCAAGAAGTTAGGACATTCTGGTATAACCCAACCCTTACTCCTACAATTCGTTAATTCTCACATTCTGCCTATTATTCTCTATTGTTCCCCCTTAGTTTTTCCCGGGCTACTGAAGAAAGACTATAACATATTACGCAGGATGTTAAAGGTTGTCAGCAGGGTAAGCAACGTGCCACTTAACCAGCTTGTTAATATTCTGATTGACAGGCACATGGACTCATGTGAAAAATGGGCCAAATCCATTTTATCTAACTCACACCACCCTCTTCATTCACAACTCTCCCCTTGTATCTCATCAGGTAAAACCAGAAGCCTATATAGAAAACTATATGCTCGCACCAGCAAGTACAAAAACTCAACCATACCCTACTTAGCTCGTGTTCTGTGCGATAAAGAAACCATTAGGCATGACACCTATAATTCATTAAATAGTCAACAGTACAACTGGATCTCGTCTTTCCAACTCATATCACTTATAGGTACAACATTTTCTTTCTTTCTTTTCCTTTTCTCTCTCTTTTTTCCATTATGTGCTTTTTTGTTTCTTTCTTCCGCTTACGCCAGTAAATATGACAGCTCCCACTTTTCTAACACCTTCAAATACTATTCAACTTTACCTTTGCTACTGACATGCTAATGTGTTGTTGTAATAATGAACTAAGATTTCCTTAATCTATGTAGAATTCTATTTATTGATAATGTACTAACTAGATGCAATACTGAAGTAAAAAATTCTGAGAATTCCATTCTGTATAACAAGTACTGTTTTGGAATAAAGCAAATTATTATTATTATTCTTACAGAATGTTATTTGCGATGCCAACAGGAAGATACTGATAGCTATGGATGTTGTATATGCTTTGAAACGCTAACGTCGTACTGTGAACTGTATCGATGGCCAACTTTTTCAATGAGTTAGACTTGAGTACTGTGTTGTTTTCACTAGAACATATGGCTGTCCTTTTTAAGTTAACTTTTCATGGGTTGCCTTACGATTGCATTTTACTCTTCATTTTACCTAGCCACCAGCAGTCCTTGTCACATTCAGTAATCGTTCTGGCGACTTAGGAGACAACAACTGAACTTTTATTGTTCGACTTTTATCTTTCACATTATGCTTCTTCAATTTTCCCTTCCTAGATTTCCGTCTCTCTGCTATTTGATATTCTTCCACACACATGTCACACACATTTACATCCGTGTCTACATACTACTTGTAAATCTTGTCAGTAGCTGATAGCATCACAACTCAATTTCAAAGGAAGACAAATGAAAGATGAAAGCATTTATTTACTTATATTAAAGAATTACAAATGAACGAAGAATGTTAAAACATATAAATGTATATATGCACTATGATTTACGTTGTCACAGCCAATTTAAAAATGGTAGGTAGGCACTGTTGAAATTGGAAATAAAACATAGAGAAACAAGTGTTCATTCTAAAAGCAAGATAAATCAATGTTGATAAATGAAATATTAAATAAACCACTCCCCTGTTCATTAATGACTAACTGATGGATAAACCTCTTGAACTCCATATGGTTTCCGTCCAGACTGTTACTAGGACAGATGACCGCCTATGCTAGTAACTCCCAATAGCGTTAAATATCATGAATTCACAGAAGTTCGAATTCGCCTACCATGGTATTCGATCTCATTGTCTTAAGTAATAATGTGCTCCTCTTATAATTTGAATTTTGTCAGTTTCATCCACAGAAGAATCGTAATACTAATAGTAATCATAGTACAGTCCCAAACTATGAGGATATACGTGTCCAGTTCTCCTTGATTTTCAAGAATTCTCTGAAAAGTCTCTAGAAATAGATCAAATCTCTATCAACTAAAGCTTAAAATTTCAAATGAATTTGTTTATTAGACATACATCACACAGTGAGTGAAACAGTATTACCTTCTGGATGACACAGTTTCGAACACAATCGAATCTTGTTCACAATCATATCATCATTAATAATCACACAACTTCAAATCTTTCGTTTTATAGTTTTTTTTTGTCGTTCCTATTTGTCGTCGCAGGAATAATAGGATTTTCCAGATTTCTGATAAATTAGTCACGATGTATGTAGGAAAATGTGAGAATACGGCTAATAATAATGCACAGAACAATAATAAATCATCAGTGGTGCTTCCATAGAAAGAAAAAACCTCGGAAACCACCTTACGGTAAAATAAAAGTGGCTGGCATTCAAACCCACAAACTCAATTAGAAACAAGCTTTGTCGGTTATGCGATCCGGTGGGACAGCGCATTTAACAGAAGAATTTTGTTTATCTAATACCCTGGCTGCAATAATTGTCAGGCCAAAAGCATCGGTCAAACTACTAGTAGGACGGGGTCAGTCAGACTAGACGGGTGCGGAAACCTAGCAAAATGCAGATTAGTTTACCCGAATAAGATAGAATGGGATAAGATAACAGTTTTAAAATCTGATGAAACTAACATGGTGAAGGGAGAGATTGATAACGAAAGCTTTGTTTATCGATTAAACTGCAAAGCAACACGTGTAACAGGAATGATTCAACACCTGTCCCAGACACAGGGAAAATTCTACTAATCTTATGACGATGAACAGAAAAGAATAAAGAAAACTATAAAACTGAAGTTTCGAAGTTGTATGGTTATAACTGATGGTATGGTTATGAACGATGATAAATTGTGTTCGCAACTGTGTCATCCAGTAAAAATAATGGTTGACTGTGTGATATATTTAACAAACAAACTAATATGAAATTGCATACTTCTACCACAGTGCCGAAGTTTTACACATATAATAAGAACGCTTGAATTGGAGCAAACATAATTACCACAAACTCTGGTTTCAGGGACTCAATTTTAGCCACACCTTCTGTATGGTCACTGATCATATCTAGTTAACTATGGAATAATATTGGTCAGACTAAGGATACACTGCAATAAATTATGCCTTTGATGAGTAATGCAGACCAAATAACGTCGATTTACTCTGAAGTATTGTAGTAATTTAATGAGAAACAAATGAAAACATGAAAGTTGACAACAATTCATTCACTCACAGGTAAGTATTGACTGCGCTATATCACCAATTATCGTGGAACAAAAAAAACAAACATTTAAACTTGGTTCATGAAACTTAACAATAATGCTTAATATCCTTTTTTTTTCAAAATTTTGTTGATTCACTTATCGACACTTTCATGTATAAATTACTTTATGAAGAGGTTCTTGGGTCACGCTACACCGACTAACAATTTCAATGTCCAATGGGTAAATTTTGAAGAGGGATTTATGATTATAATTATCGATTTTACGTGATGTATACAAAACTATACAAATAGTGGATAGTGTTAAGGTACGAGTCACATTACTTGAAATTATACTTTACGGTGAAATTGTTACAATATTTGAATCAAGCCACAACCATCTTTGATGCCTCTGATTTTAACCTTTCAGAGGTGAGTACATTAGTTTAGGTAATTAGATTTGATTTGTCTCATACATTAATTAAACTAGTCTCATAGCGATAACTTACCACAAGGAATTGAGATATTTCCTAAAAATGAAAGTTAAAATGGAGAATAAATAGTCATACATAAATCTGAAATAAAATTTACAGCTGTTGAGACCATCAATGGCATGCAAGAATTGCGATGTGACTACCCTCTAATTTGCACTTGAGTCAAAACCGCCCACCCACTATGAAGCTCCACATAGGCACTACAAATTAATCTTCTAGCGAACTAGTTCTACATAGAATTAGTTAACAGATGGATTCAGCATTCTCAGTACAAATGATTCACTGTTCCCCGAAGACAGTTTCATTTTGTTCCAATTTTCCGTAAAGTCTTGTGAAATATTCCATGATATTTACGATCCCTCTGCCTCACAATCTCTGTCTTTCTCTGTGCGACTGTCAATAAGTCTACGATTATTATCATCATGCGTATTTTTATTCTCTTGGGCACCAAGTAGAACGTAAGGCAGCTTATTTCTATCTCACTGTGTTCTTAAAATCCCTGTACTCTGGCTCCAATATTGAACATTACCTTTCATTTTCCCTTCAAATGATGTCTTCGATGTTATCCGTGAAATGACACCAAACTCATCCTTCGAGGGCCTAGTGCGTCATATCACTGAGAAATACTTTCATTATGTGACTGAAACTCCAACTCTATTGATGTTGCAAGCATCATGTATTTAGTCTTGAAACGGAATAAAGTAATTTCATCAAAATGTGTACTTAATTCACTACAATTTATGTAAACTACAGGTAATAAATCTAATCAGCATTCAAAATCAGTAGTAGGTGAATTATTTCAAAAAAAATTACCTGGCATACCACACTGCCGCTCTGGATTTTAAAACAAGAATGCAAGATAGTGAATGTTAAATAACTGGAGAAACGAATCACAGTGAAACAATTGCAACAGCACTCAAATTGCTAACAAGAAGTCATTTAAATGAAAAAGCTGGGAAGATATTTTCAGTCATTTTTCATGCCCACTAAACATCAGTACTGTTTGACGTATTTGAACTGACTCTTTACTGTCTCCAGGAATTAATCACCTACTGACCTAACTGAGAAAGCTATTTGAGCCACATAAACAGTATTGAAAGACTGTACAGTTAGGAAGGTATTTTACTCGACACAGAATACTTGTAATTTTGGTTGTGGGATTTCAGAGGGATTTCATACCGTCACCCTACGTAAAATCAGGATGTCAAGGTCTGTCCTTCAAAAGTTCGTGTATGCGACTGGATATATGCCTGGTAAATACAATTTATAACTGTCATGGGCTCTTTAGATTCTTCGTATACATAAGACTTTGTCCATGTCTTCCACATCTGAAATTTTCCCCCCAGTCTATGAAAATCCACGTTGGTATTTCACAGAAATCATTGAAGTTATTCCTCTTTGTCCAATAAAGCGATTATTAATGTCGTAACCTTCCCATTATAACTGGAGATGTAGGAACCTAGTTTAACGGATATTAGCGACAGCATAAATTAAACATCGCTAGTCCATAAGGCTCACTAAGAGTGTCTCACATATAAAGGTGAAAAATGTTTCAGATTTGAAAATATGAAACAAACAGAACTGTTAAATAACAGAATGATATAATTAAGACATGTAGGAGGACACGAAATCACCGACAACTGAATTTTTAAGTGCAAAAGATACTTTAACAAGGAAATATGCCACAACTTACCTCCAGCCTGGTGGTGGTCTGTGATACAACAAAACATTGATTTACAGGTTACATAATCAGGTGAAACCAGTCAAAGAAGATAAATAGACTTCGTGAGTGTTGTACTTTCTTGGACTGGCAGAATCACAACTCTATTAAAATTCCAACATGGTTCTCTCAGCAACATGATTTCATCATAATAAAGGTTTTTGTATTTCCCAAAGAATGACAAACGAAAAAATATTGTTTTTACTGACGTTTCGCTATTTAATGCTAATAGCTTCATCAAAGTATTATATGATTTCACTGTTTAATTATTTTCATATTCTGCAGAAACAGTTGATGTGCACGAACAGTATTCATTCTAATAGATTTTTTTCAGAATGACTGGGTCTTAAATAGTTAAAGCTCTATGTGCTGAATCACTGTAGGGACATCTTCGGTCAGCTCAGCTGTAAACTAGTGAAATTTACATCCAGTTGTTAGACCATTTCTGTTAGGCTGGTTAGCATCACTTTTTGACGTGATACATTTTCAACTACTCATATTTGTCAGCAAGTAGTATACAGTGAAATACGATTTTTGAGTGTTCATTTGTTTGAAATTTATGGCATCAAGTAAATCCCGTATTGTCTAATACAAATATTTCGGGTTTTTAGACTAGTGAAATATTTTGCATTTATAAAGCAATATAATACACAATGAATTCAATGAGCCAAACATCCTCCCAGAAGTTTTGCTGCGAATGACGTCAGAAGGCTACATTACTAGTTGATAGCAGGCTGCCACCACGAAAAGCACTATAGTGGCCAAAGTGGAGGCCACCTACATCGTCTCATATAGAAACAAAAGCTAGCCCTCAGAAGACATGATATCCACTCCATCATATATAGTTGCATACAGAGAATCACCACCAAGAACGCCAAAGAATTTCCGAAAGCCTGGTATTCCTGTGAATCAGCAATTAACAGGCACATTGACATGGGTAAATATCACAAATATATCAAAATAAAATTTCACGCAGAAAAGTGGGACTTCAGGTCAAGAAAAAAATCAATACCTACACTAACAGACAACAACAACCAGTCACACTCAAGGACACCAGGAGAGATGACTAATAAACTCGTCGAGAAATCCTAAAGCTCAATTCTAATTGAAGTATGAATTGAAGATATTGCCTAGTAGAGGTATGGAAGCTTCTCAAGCAAACCATCCAGCTCAGGGAAAACAAATACACCGTAATCTTTGAGTATTGGTTTGTAGCGATATGACTGGTTGCTTACAGTACTCCATCGTGAGCTGACATCGGTTGGAGAACCATTGGAAAACCAGTTGACAGTAGTGAACAGCTGTTGCCTCAGCCTAGTTTGGGACTCTTAAGCGGTACACACACACCACTGTTCGAACCCAGTAGCTTCTAGTTACAAGGAGAGCACGTAGACCATTAAGCCACTGGGACCATTAAACCTCAGTTCAAATTCTTGAGGTGGATGCATACAGTGAGGCGTCCGAAACTGTAATAAAGCTTCTGTAGAGTACTCTCTCATGGTTTTTTAATGGTTCTCCTAACCAATTTCTGCTCGTGATGACATACATCGTAATCATCGATTTGATCTACAAATCGTATCGTTTATAGCTATACTAACAAGTACTAGGAATGAATTTTTTAAAAATTTCTCCTTCAAATAATTGGGTACTTACGATGGAGCTAATTCCTTAGGATGAAGTAGACCTAGAAATTAAGAAAGGATAAGAGAAATACATTTACATAGAGTAAGTATGAACGTTACTACAGTTTATAACAGAATAAAGCAGTTTTGTTAATGTTCAACATAAAAATAAGGTGAGCATGGCAAACAGTTAGTCTCTTTACACATGCATTAATACATGTACACAAAATTAATTACCGGTATTCGTGGAGGTAGAGCCTGAAACGAAGTGTTGTGTCAAAATCAAACAGTTTTATTATTGATCAAAATCGAAAGTAGGTGAGCATGGCAATCAAATTAGTCACTTTACACAAGTATTAATATATGAACACAAAGGTAATTACCTGTATTCGTGGAAGTAGAACCTGAAACGAAGTGTTATGCCGAAATCAAACAGTTTTATTATTGTTCAAAATCGAAAGTGGGTGAGCATGGCAATCAAATTAGTCACTTTACACAAGTATTAATATATGAACACAAAGGTAATTACCTGTATTCGTGGAAGTAGAACCTGAAACGAAGTGTTATGCCGAAATCAAACAGTTTTATTATTGTTCAAAATCGAAAGTGGGTGAGCATGGCAATCAAATTAGTCACTTTACACAAGTATTAATATATGAACACAAAGGTAATTACCTGTATTCGTGGAAGTAGAACCTGAAACGAAGTATTGTGTCGAAATCAAACAGTTTTGTTAATGTTTAACATCGAAAGTGGGTGAGCATGGCAATCAAATTAGTCACTTTACACAAGTATTAATATATGAACACAAAGGTAATTACCTGTATTCGTGGAAGTAGAACCTGAAACGAAGTGTTATGCCGAAATCAAACAGTTTTGTCAATGTTCAACATCGAAAGTGGGTGAGCATGGCAATCAAATTAGTCACTTTACACAAGTATTAATATATGAACATAAAGGTAATTACCTGTATTCGTGGAAGTAGAACCTGAAACGAAGTGTTGTGTCGAAATCAAACAGTTTTGTTAATGTTTAACATCGAAAGTGGGTGAGCATGGCAATCAAATTAGTCACTTAACACAAGCATTAATACATGAACACAAAATTAATTACCGGGATTCTTGGTCGAATCAGCTGAAACGAAGTATTGTGTCAAAATCAAACAGTTTTGTTAATGGTTAACATCAAAAGTGGGTGAGCATAGCAATCCATTAGTCACTTTACATATGCATTAAATACACGAATGCAAAATTAATTACCTTCCTTCTTGGCCTTAACTGAAAAGAAGTATTATGTCAGATATTCAGCATGTTATAATATAGAATTAATATCTGTCTAGACACAAGTATTTAAACACTTCGCCGTGTACACTCCATTTAATAAACTACCGGGAAAATATTTGAATTATGGCTTATCAGAATCATTCCTTAAGAAACATCGCAAAATACAAACTACGTTGGTAGTCTCTCAGTGACCGTCTGGCCGCCAACCAGTTGAACTTATCATTTTCAAATTAATGGACCACCTTCACCTCTAAATAAATCATAGTTCCCCCACCCTCCAAAATCGATTTAGCTTCTAATTGTTGTAATATGGAGTGTAATTTAGAAATCATAACGAGAAAGCTATTGATGCTACTCACAGATAAATAAGTAGTTAGTCAATGAACTTACTGGCTGCTATGAGAGTTTTCCCCGCTGAAACATTATGATAAAACTGAGTGAATTTGGTTTTTTAAAGTAGTAATACAGAAAAAATAATTAAAACAGTTTGTATGAGGCGTCCAACTTCTGAAGAACAGTCGAGAAATACTCAAAAGTAGTCTGGAACTATTCAAACGCTCAGTCAATTAAAGGATATAAACTGCATGTTCAGTAGAGCACATTGTGTCGATAGATTAGTCATAATAATTTTCGTGAAAATGCGTGTATACACAGGGCAGGGTATTCAGTGTGTTTCTATGAGGAGGTATTTACCGCATGTGGAACATCTTCAGTGGGATATATAAACCGAAAATATAACTTTACCACATAGACACGAAATTCCCGACTTTGTCATTCTCTCATGCATAATACCTTGATATCTGAGCGTGGATTTATCTTGAATGAATTTTGATTTATCAAAAAGCAGTGACATTGTATCACTAGAGATGCAGGTCTAAATTATACAAACATGATGCCACCTTAATTACCGATAGCAATACCGATTATTGATTAAAAACGCACAAGCATTTGCTAGTTCATGCAAGAATATTTCGTCCTATTTCACATCACACCCTAAAACAATTCTATACACGCTTTGCGTTTCTAATTCAGAGAATAAATTTGAATGTTAATGAAAAAAGACCAGATCACTCCAACTCACCGGTACCGCATTCTGTTTCTTGGAAAATGACCAACAGACCAACTAGAATGAAGAAGATTGTTGCAGACTGCATTTTGTCGTATGTAAATCAACACCGAAGTAATGAATGCTACTGAAACTACCCAGCATAGCTAATGCATATTTATATGCTTCAAGAAGTCATCCACGTAAGTAATTTTTGTTTTTTGTTTTTCATTAAGCATTTTAAAAAGTTTTCTGTGTCGGCTCAACTGAGTAAACAAACTCTCAGCCGACACTGTCTATTTTTAGTAATTAGTCAAATCATGTTAACTAATTGTGAAGAAATTTACAGAGCAAAAATGAATTTCATAGTCTTTACTTTACCAAAGTACTGCATATATTCAAAATAGTTTGGTGAAAGTGTTCGCGTCCAACGCAAACGAGCTAACGGAAATGGGATCGACTTATGAATAAACAGCCACCGGATACATATCATTGAACAAAACTAATTGGACTATTTTATGTATGACGGTAAATTTATTCACAATTTATTTCCAGATAGAACACATACTTGCTAATTTGTTCTTTCACCCCTTGTTGGCTAAAACTCTAGCATCATTTAATGCATTACGTTGGTAGTTCATTTGTAGAATAATAACCAGCCAGGTACTCGGTCAATATTCCGATACCCGGCCGGAGCACTCCCAGACCTCAATTAACCGGTAATAAGTCTGGTAAGAAAGGAAGGTTCAGTGTAAAACTAGCGCCCCGCCTTTTTAAAAGTACCCCACTGCTACTGAAACTTCAAAGCCTAAGGTGAAGGCTTAAGTTCCATTTGGAAGGAAAGAAATAAAATAAAAAATCTCTCCCTCCACCGAGTTAGTTACATCAGATTTCAAAACTGTCACCTTATCCCAACATCCTATTTTATGGTCGTGTGTAACTGCATGTAGTAAGGGCTATAGCTGAACTATTCTCTAGATTTCTTATCTTATTCGAATAAACTAATATGGATTTCGCTAGATTTTTATGCTCGGCTAATCTGACTAACTGCTCCTATTCTACTACTCTGACCTATGTATTTCACCTGACAAGCATTCAAGCAGGATATTAGGTGAACTAAATTGTTTTGTCTTAAAGGCTGCACAAGATCCTTTAAACGACAAACCTTGTTTATAATTGAGTTTGTGGGTTTGAATGCCAGCCTGTTTTATTCCTGCTTGTCTTGTTAAGAATTTTGAGTTAGGTTTCTGAGGTTCCTTCTGTGAATGAAAGTACTACTCATGATTTAGATTCCTTGTTATTGGTATTGTCATTATCCTGTGCATGTTTCACATGCATTTCATCAATAATACTACTATTATTATCACTATCACTACTATTATGATTTATTTTATTTTTATTTTCACATTTCCCTACAGACTTTCTGATTACTTTATCAGGATAATTATTAAGTTTCAAAGCTTCTCTTATATGCTTTACTTCTTGTCTTAGACTTTTCTTGGTACTACTTAGTTTTGTGCAGTATTATTTAAATATTTCACTCACGGTGTGATATATCTAATAAACAAACTAATATGGAATTACTTACTACCACAGTGCTCAAGGTATACACATATATTGATAAGCTGTGAGTGAGTGAAGCTTGTCAACGAAATCACACCATTAGATAGTAGAAATCGTGACTTTGAGTAGATGAGAAAACAACAGCATGCATGTGACGCTGTTTATTGTTTTTGTTTATTTGTCAAAATGTGATAATATTAAACGTGGAGGTTGTTTACAGCAAAGTAATCCGTGTCACCAAGTGAGGGCTGCAGTCAGAGATATTACTACTTAGCTTGTATACCATTCATCCAATAAGACATTTCAAATTGATAAAGTGGATCTCTCAACATGACAAACTTCTTAATGACTTGAACAACTGTTTAAGGCTAACAGGAGAAGGGCTGTTTATCCGTAGAGAGTTCTATATTCGCTAGGAAGATTTAAGGTAGTAATACAGTTGATACTACATAGAAATGATTTTGATTTTCAGTTTTTATATAAGGAGGTACAATATGACTGAACGGTCGATATTTTAAACTGGAATGATATGCACTTTGCTTAAACATTATGTTGTTATTTACAATAAAAATTTGCGTTGTGGGAAATAAATAAGGAAATTGCGAAGAAAAGAAAACTTGTTTCAACATCTATGAACATATTTCTAGACATAGTGTGCAGAAACGATGATTAGTAGTGGAAACCCGGATGACCATTCCACCCGCCCGACCGAAAGCTGCTACCTTGACGTGGTGGTCGGGCTTGCATATCGCAATGACCCAACGAGCTACACTGGTTGGAACTTAAGTTCCTGTAGGTCCTACCATGCCAGAAAGGTTGTTTGGATAGCGGTTAGACAAAAAGCAGCTACCCAATCCAATGCCATGACTCAAACAAAAACACAAAATATCATGCCGGATCGGTCGGGGCCCGGATTAACAACGACCGCGCTTCCTGCTGCCGTGTCACAGGGCAGAAGTGATAAATACGCTACTGAGACACACCAAATGAAAAACAACAAACAGAAACAGGCCGCGTGTGACCAGCCTCAAGCAGTTGTCCCTTGGGCTCTGCGGTCACGCAACCAACTTCCACGATGTGGGCAGCCGGGAAGTAACATTCGCCCTCACACTCCAAAGTGCACGCAAAACCTCTCTAATCCTCACTCATCTTTGTATCCATCTTCATCTCTGTTATCCTGCCTTCCTTCTACCAATGCAACTCCGGGAGATGTAGATTTCCTGGTTGGGGTCCTCGGGACGGTAAAAACCAATGGTTGGAAACAATTGGTGACATGGCTCAAAATCGTTCTCAATGGCACAGATGCATCCACTCCTTGTGACTTATGATTTCCAATGAAACTGTTTTGTTCTTCGTTATTACTACTCCTTTGTCTCACACCTCTGTTTACTGTCTCTAATATGCATTTCTCCTACTTTCTTCTCTTCCTTTGTGTGCTACATGGAGTGTGGAGACTTGAACTGCCGCACAAGTGTGCAAAGTTCTGTGTCGAAAACAGACAGACAGACAGACTTCGAATTCATCACCTAGATGTGCCAAGTTTCCCAGTAAATATAATTCTGTTCCCACTGAGTTTAAAACATGGTAGATATTGTTTTAAATATCAAAGCCACTTGGGGCTCCTTGTAAGTCCAACCATCGCTTGTTTTACTAGCTCACTAGTTTTCTAGCCGATCTCAATCCCCGAAAGAGAGGGGCTAGATACTATACTTCAGGAGACCATTCAAATTGATACAAGAATAAAACTTGTACACTATGGTAGAGTATAATTCCATTATGGGTAAAATCTGTTTTGATTAAGTGTTATACAGTAATATTTACTGAGGACGTTTCGAGCACAAACTACTGCTCATAATCATATAAATTTTACCCATTATGAAATTATTCAATGGCTACAGAAACTTCAACGCATAAGAAAAATATTAAAGAATGTTAAACACAAACTTATTCTCCTTTGTAGTCAGAGAGGCGAAATGACACAGTGGGCTGTTGAAAGCCTTCGTGAATTCAGCCAGCCTGTGTGCCTTCTTTGGATAAAAGCAAAAATAATAATGGGAACGTGAAATGTTTGTAAAATGTGCAAAACTAGAAAGACTGCCCAAGTAGCCAAAGAAATCAGAAGGCATGGTATAGAACAGCTTGGAATCTGCGAGAACAGGTGAGATGGGTGTACGGCTGCCAAAGTCCACACAACTACAGGTTGAAAATTATAACTTGAGTTCTGTCTGATATGACAAACAATATAACAGTGTAATTTTCCTAACATCTGCAATATACTTGAATAAAACATTCTGAGCCCTCTTATCTTACACTTCCTTATCACAAATGCATTTATACCGAAGTTGACACAATATGACTTATGAAAACTAAACAAATGTTGGAGAGAAATATTTATTTAAGAATCCAAGTTATAGTTGTGTACAACAGTACTAGAAAGAATGAATAGGCAAGACAAAGAATGCCTCTCAATGGACACTTGGAAGCTAATCGAACAGCGGATGATGACGAGGCAGATGACGAATGAACGCAAATATGGATAATCGAACGAGCAGCTGAGTTCAATGTACATCAAACTGAATAGAGAAGTGAAGACGAATACTAGAAAAGACAAAGGGTTATTCTAAAACACACTGAAAACTCAAGCAGAAGGGGCTTCACGTAAAAGAGACCTCAGAACGTTACATCAGATAACCAGTTCTCTATCCTCCGAACATCTAATATCATCAAATCAATGTGCACCGTGATTAAGAGCTACCTAGAATGGTGGCGACATCGCAAACCTGACTGGTAGAATTCAGTCTGCAGGGAAGAAAGGACTGGACATATCGCACTAGCTACTAGTGTCCAATCAAAGTACCTCATATGGTATTCAGCAGATCACATTGTAGTTTGAATAATTTTGGTTTTCATAGGAGACTACGGTGAGATGTCAACCCGTAGCACTGTGCAAATAGCAATTTAACTATCTATTCCGGCTCAGCTTGTTAAGTGAAACCACGAAACCGCGTGGTTTATACTTATTTGTATCTCTGAGCTAAGTCAAATTAGGTACATCATTGATGTCCTTAATGAGCAGAGCGGTCATTCTATGTTGAAATCACTACTATCTAGTGAGTACTCACAACTGACTGACACGAGTGGTATACAATCAATGGCATAATTTTCATGCAATTAGACAAGCTTACAGTAGCTACTCGCCTGATCTCTTCCGTGTCATACTCGTACCAGTTCCCAATCTGTCGCTTCTTACTTTGGTCCTTCGGGAAAGCCCGGTGGGTAGTGTCTCTCAGCTGTCTTATGTACATATGACAAATCCATTTACATTTGTTTCTGCATATTTACTGTGACCTGATTTACTGCAAAGTAGAATTACCTGCCGGTTATACTTTTCCAGTTGGTTATCTGACATTCAGTATCCGGTGAAAGGCGGATCTCAGTGTTGGTGGACATTGAATAGTTTGTTTATTCGAATTGGTCTCCATTTGGCGGGAGACAAGAAGCCTGTCATCGCTTAATTGTATACTGGTTAACAGAATATTGGAGAAA